TCGGTGTCCTACACAAAGCAGAGAGGTCTGCTCTCGATTAAAAGGTAAGAAGCCTGAGATACAAGCCAACTTAATCAATGATCAAAAATAGAGTTGCCAAAAATAAGGCCCATAAAAGTTTTATTGATAGATTTGATCAAGCATCCCTTTTGGCCACTTGAACATCCAGATGACTATCTCAGGGTCTGGTTAAAAAATAAATCTCTAAATGTGACAAATATTAGGGCGATATTGCAGAAAATATCCTCCTAATCATGTATTTAAATGATGTGCATTACTTATACAGAGCTGTTCTAAATGGTGTCCATCTATTGGGACCTGAGCTATGAGCTCTTTATATGCAACACTGTTTTAGGCTGAAAAAAATGTGTTCAACATTAAAGGATCAACTATTACCATTGCATTTCTTACAAGTAATTACATTACTTATTTTATTCTGTCTTATTATGATATATTCTATTTTGCTCTATTGTACTTAAAATCTTATATTCTTATCTTCTGTAAACTTGCACTGCAAGAAAAGAATATCCTGCAGGGGAGTAATTAAGTAATTCTGATTCTTGAATCAATAGGGATGTCAATGGTCAGCTCTTTACTATTTAAATCAATTGGATAGTAAGTGATGCCTAAAGTTTCAAGCATCCCAAGGTGAGTAAAGACCTGCATTGCATAGCCCAATATTAGGTTGTAGCTTCATTGGTTCATCAGCAGTGGTACATCTGTAGGGTAATTCATCAGGTGTGATAAGCACAGATGTCTTGTGGCAGAAATGATCAACATGTTCAAAGAAACCATGGCAGGCTGGGGTATGTACTGATTATGTTATGTAATGTTAAAAGCATAGAAGGGAGAAGATGGGGTTATTTTCCTGTGGCATATCTTCCAATACTAGCGAAATATAAGAGTGATAATCTCCTTTTACCCCAGTCAGCCTCAGCAGATGGCCGCTCACACTAAGCCTGGTTCTGCTGGAAGATTCTTCCTGTTAAAAGGGAGTTTTTCCTCTCCACTGTCGCTACAAATATGCTTAGTGTGAGAGATTGTATTTGAGTCAATGAGTCGATGCAATCAACTGGTTTTCCTTAGATAGAAAACTTTGCATCAATTTTACTGTATGATCTGGTAGAACTGTACCATGCCTTTAGGTGACTTGTGTTGTGAATTGGCGCTATAGAAATAAACTGAATTGAATAAGCCACACGGGCAAATGACTTTGAAAGGAGGCGAAAACCTAATTTAATGTGCATCTATTTTTCTCATGAATGCAGATATCAGATTATTACACTAAAAAGGATCAGTGAATGGCAGATAGGAAATGTTAGAGTAAATTGTGGCAGGAAATCATTTCAAGTTTGTTTTTCAGCGTGTTACTACAAAGCTAGGGGGGAATCCATCCACGTTCTATTGCAATTATTACCGATCTCACACAAACTCCTTAACATGTCAGTCAATTAAAATCTGTGATCAAATTATAAAAAAAAAAAGAAATAGTTATCTTGATGGCTACATAAGCCACCACGTGTGATGCTTACATTTGGTTTTTCTCCAGCTTTTGTAAGTCCCATTCGAACTGGTTCTGTTCACACTGCAAAGGTTTGCTAAATGTTTTTCAAATGTTCTCCTGCTACAAAATCAGCATTGGGTTCAATACATCGGAAAAGTTTAAATCATAATGAAGCGAATAAGTGTGAACTTCCAAGCAATGCCTTTTTTCAGCTGCTGTAAGTGCTCCGCTTTTCCTCTTGGTGTGCCCTTTAATTTGTATATTTTCCTTTTTTTGTAAGGTTCTCATTTATCTTCTTAAAGGTTGTAATTTTGCCTGTGCTCTTTAATGTGTATTCTGAACCAAGTCTCTTAAAGATCTTATTATGAGTCCATGACAAAAAAGATTTCTGATTCCAAAAACGGCGATAGCAGACACACCTGCTTTCAATAACCAAAGAAAAATAAGATAGTTCAAGGATTACACTGAGCAGAAAGCTGATGTTATTTAGTACATTATAAAGACACCAACTTGAGTATGAATTTATAAATTAGGAGAGCTTTGCTGCAATTGCTTTTCTTTCAAGTATAAAGTGCTGAAAAAGCCTTTAAATTCTTTTTTTTTTTCTAAACAAAAGATTTTACCAAAGGTGCCGAGGCATTTTTCCCAATGTATTGGAGTAGTAGAGTGATTTGCATTTCAGTGTCTGAGTTGAGCCTGAAGGCGACATGTCAGACTGAACCAGAGGTGGTGAGGCTGACTGAGCACATTAGGTCGACTCATTCTTTGCGTGAGAAGCAACACAGTCACAGAGACACTGACTAACGTATTAATAACTGAAGAAGCTTACAAATGATTTGAAATAACTTTAGAAGTGATTGCATGACAACTTCAAGTTAGGTAAAGTCAGCTGATCCTCTATAAGAAGTTAGACTAATATTCTTCCTAGCACTAAGGCATGAAATAGGAAAAAGTTTTTTTGTTTTCATCCTATTACGCCTAAATAAACATAATTCTAAGAATCCTTTAAGGTTACCGCCTTGCTTTTTTTTGTGTATAAATTTATTGATGTGATTTAGCTGGAAAGCATCTGGTCAGTTCACACCTTATGTTCTCTGATGGATGGTCATCTTATACCAGACTTTCTTTTAAGATGAGCACCCTGCCATGGGACAGTCTTAGGAAAGTTTCTAAACAACTAATAAATTAAATTTACTTCATCATTGATATGCTGTCAACTTTGTTTTACTAAATGTGACGTGATCTCAGTAAATCTGTTGTCACTAGAAGTTTACTTGGAGTCATTTTGCAGTAAGAGAAACACTTGGTAATATTTTGAAATCAGAACCACAATTGATTGAGACTCTTTTCTTGAGAAAAAAGAAAATTAAACAAAATTTCTAAAATATGTATGTCCCTTTTAGTAATGTTTTTCTCCATAATTTATCAGCATACCGCAGAATTTGCCAAATTTAACAGCAGTTTGAAAGGACGCAAATGAAACATTTTTGCAATGCCAGACTTAAAAAAAAAATGCAGAAGGTAAATAAAGGTGAATAAAATGGGTTGTTTGTAAGTATGAAATGGAATTCAATAACTATTAAATGAATGTACAAGCTGGCAAAGTAAAAAACTTACTGTAGTCACTCTAAACTAAATATTATTTGCAGGATGCAGATAAAAACTTTATTTCATTAAGTAGCAAAATCAGAAATTACTTAAAGGAGAAAGTCCTCAGCTCAAACCCTTTGCTATTTTGGAGATGTCAGCATGTTAAAATGTTTATTACTAGTCAAAGTCTACCTATAATCTCTACCTGCTTGGCAGCATAACATAAAAAAGCTTATTTGTGGAGCATTTCTTTCTTTTTTTTTTTAAAAACAACAAAACAAATCATCAAGTAATTATCCTCAGATTGAATTAAAATAAAATAAGTTATATTTTATCCATCTTTCCTTTTGGGGTAACCAAAATGGTCCTGTCCGTTGAATATAAGAAGAGAAAACTGCTTTAGACTATGGAAGATGCTGCAGTATATTTCAGGTATGAGGGTTTAATCGATGAAGGAGCTACAGTTTTCCATGAGGAAGTTTTGGTCTTTCTTTCTCAAACTTTGCCTTTAGCTGACAGAGGAGCCCTGCTGCAGATGGAGGGCTAAGCCTCAGTGATCTCTGCTTACTGGATGAATCAAACTGTGTGGCTGATATTAGCAGGTGGTGTGAGGATATTAAAACATTTGTTAAGAGAGGTAAGCAAAGGTCTGCACGTGTGAACAAAGATGTGATCTGGCGCAATGAAAAATGGTGTAAACTATACATGGAAAATCTGAAAAAAAAAACAATATTAATTGAAGTGCTGATTTATCAAAAGTTGGGCACCTGATTTTTTTCTGCATTTTCTGACATTGAAGGATCTTAATTTAAAACACCCATTTTTATGTTATTGTCTATTTAAGATTTAAACTGATACAATCAGGCTCAAAAAGTGTATGTGTATATATATATATATATATATATATA